GGTGTCCTGTGACGGGTGGTGATGCTGTGATCGGTGTCCTGTGACGGGTGGTGAGGGTGTGATTGGTGTCCTGTGACGGGTGGTGATGGTCCGTGTCCTGGGCTGTGACGGGGGGTGATGAGGTCACAGTGTAGTGCAGGCCCCTCCAGCACTGAGGACGCTCTGATTACTCAGGCTGACCTCTGTGTGGTTCTGCTACCTGGTGATGGTGGTGAACAGGCCTGGCTGTTTGGCAGGTGTCTGGACCAGATGTCCCGGGACCGGCTGTCACTGCACCGTGTCTTCTCGGATGTGGCCATGTCAGCGGAGGAGCGGTCCCTGCTCCTGCAGGCAGTGCGGAAGGTGAAGCCTGCCTTCAGCCCCCCACCACTGCCCTCGCCCCTCGTCAACACCTCCCCTCTTCTCAAGGACGTGTATGCCCAGGTGAGTTGGCCTCCAGGTGAGTCTTCCTCCTGGTGCTTGGGCAGGTACAGGGCTGCTCGCTGTGTGAACTCATCTGGGCGGAGTGTGGCGTTTCCTGGGAGCTCAGCCTCCTTGGAGGTTTGGAAGGTGTGGGAGGTGCCACAGAACCCTGACTTATGGCCTTTGCAGTTAGAAGCTGTGGGGCTAGGAGTCGGGGACGAAGGACCTGGCCTCCCAGCTCTGGGGGACGGGGTGGTGGGTTTGTTTGGTTTAACAAAATGTCACTTAAGCATTGTGCATTTGCGCACATTCCTCATTTGACGTGGACAGTGCACTGTTCTTGGAGCTATGTCCTAATTCCAGGGTCTTCTAGAACCCTAGACTCTTATGATCCTGGAAATCTCTGTCCTGGACACTGAAGCCATGTCCTTGTGTCTGGCTTCTTTCACTGAAGGAGCCTGGGTAGCGTAGTTGGTTGCATGTTGTGCTGTCAGCGGTGGGCGGTTCAAGTCCCCAGCTGCTCTTTGGGAAAGCGAGGCAGGCAGTCCCCTCAGTAAAGCTTCAGCCCCAGGAGCTGCAGGTTGGAATCAAGCTGGTTGTCGCCCGCAGGGTGGGCTCTTTGTGGGTTTTGTTGCTGAAGGAACCCTGGTGAGGAAAAGGTTAAGTGTCCATCTTCTTAACAAAAGGTTGAGTAGAGATGAGGGGCTGTTGCTCTACCACGTGGCCTTGGGCAAGCTCAGGGCTGCAGGGAGGGGCCATAATAGGGGTGGTGGGGACGGCAGAGGCCACGGGGTGGCGGTGGCCATCTTTTGTTCTGTGAGCGCCTTTCTGAGGCTCGTCAGGGCTGCAGACCCTTCTTGGCCACACAGTCCATGATGTGGATGGGTCTCCTGGTGGCTGCCCACCATCTGGGAGGTCCTGAATGCAGGCCTACAGGTCCCTGTGGGCCTCCCTGGTGGTCACTGTCTAGGTAGGAACCTCTCTTTTCAGCCTGTTTATTTTTGGAAGGTCAGTCGGACACTGCCAGGCTGACAAGCCAACTAGTCTCCAGAGCAGCCCTGTCCACTGGGGGCCTCCTGCCTCCGCCACCACGTCCTTCCGGGTGCTTCTGCCCAGGGACAGAACAGAGGGGTGTGGGCTGTTGGGCGCCCATAGCACCCTGTGTGGGACCAGCAGGGACAGGATCAGTGTTCACACCACCTCACGCTCCCCAGGATGGCCCCCTGGCTTACCCGAAGCTGCACTTGCCCCTGAAGATGCTGGAGAGCCTTTTTCAGGAGCAGCTGCGTGTGGAACTGGCCACCACCGTCCAGGTCCACTCAGTGGAGAAGGCCCCACCGCTGACCAGTGAGCTCCTGCAGGCGGTGAGAGGGCTGTGCTGCTGGAGGACAGGGAGGGGGCAGGGAGGCGAGCGGGGCCCAGGGTGGGGGTGGAAGTGTCCTCCCAACCCTTCCTCATTCACCTTGTCCTGGACACGCCCACTGGGCTGCAAGCATCAGTTGGGGTAGGTGAGGGCTCACCTGGGAGCAGCCTGGAAACCTCCCAGACCGCACTGTTGCCCAGGGTGCCTGGGGGCGGTCACCGGTAGAAACCCCAGGGGCAGGAAGTCCCCAGGCCCCCGTGAGTAGCAGGCTTGGTGGTGACGTGTGCGGTCTGACAGAGAGAGACGCTGAGGAACCTGCGGGCCCAGTGGGAAGCGGCGCTGTGTCACGAGCTTCAGGAGGTGAAGGCAGTCATGGCTCGAGGGGCCCGGGAAGGCCGCCCCACTCTCTACCCACACCTGTGCCTGCTGAGCGAGCAGGAGATGGCCCAGATGCTGCTGCAGGTGGGGGGTGGCAGGGGTGGGGCGAGAAGGGGAAGGGCTGGAGGTGGGATGTGCACGGGAAGGACTTGGGGGCAGGGTTTGCTTTGGGAGGGGTTTTGGGGAGGTGCTTGGCGCCCTGGAGGCTCGGGTGGGGAAGGCGTAGTGAGGGGGACCTGAGGCCGTGGACCAGAGGCTGTGCAGATCCGTGGTGGGTCTCCCACCAGGCTCCAAGGCTGTTTTTTTCCAGCCCTGGAGTGAGCCCCATTCAGCGCCCACCCCAGAGCAGGGGTGCACAGGGCCTGCCGGCTGTAGCGCACTGTCCAGGGGTGGTGACCTCATGCTCTCCACACAGGTCCTGCAGGGGTTGCCGCCCCAGGGCGAGTCACTCATCAGCCTGGCGCATGAGCTGGGCATGCGTACTTTCAACAGGCACATGGTGCAGCGGAAGCAGCAGGAGCAGCAGGTGCAAGCCCTGCAGAAGCGCTACTCACAGTACCTGCGCCTGCTGGCCAGTGACACCCAGGTGGGGCGTGGGGCCAGGACCGAGGGTTGGGCTTCCTGTCCCACCGGGGCTCCTCCTTCCTACCGGGAGTGGGCGGGGCACTGCGCCCGCCTCCCTAATTGGTTCTGCTCCACAGGTACACCCGCCCCTCCTGCCCAGGCAGTACTGGGAGGTGCTCGGGGGTTCTGAGGGTGAGCCGCGCCCTGAGAAGCCGTGGCCTCTACCCGTGCTGGTTAACCTGGGCAAGCAGCTGGCAGAGGTTCTAGTGCGTGCGGTGCACATGCCCCGCACCTCCTCAGCCCCCAGCGACGCAACACCCCTTATTCCAGTGCTGTACCACGTGTACTCATTCCGCAGCTTCCGCCAGGTGCGTGCCCAGCACCCCTCCACAGGCAGCCCAGCCCCCTACAACCCATCTCCCTCCATGGGCAGCCCAGCCCCCCCCCTCCCCGGGCAGCCCAGCCTTACACCCCCCCGCAGCCTAGCCCCCCCATCCCAGTTCCCTCCACGGGCAGCCCAGTCCCCCACAGCCCAGCTTCCTCTCCCCCAGGTAGCCTAGTACCCCACACAGTCCTCCCACGGCCAGGCCTCCTTTGCAGTAAAATGTAGTGCATTACACCCCAGAGCCTCATGCTAGGATGGCCCCCCGAAAAGAGTGCCCGCGGCATTGTCGCCAAGGCCCTGTCAGAGAGTTAGAGATGTCTTTCAGTGGCACCAGAGCCAACAGGACCTCTTCATGCCACTGACCTCCCTACCCGAAGTCTCTGGTGCCACGCTGTGCCCTGATGAGTGCCCTCTCCCTAGATCGGCGTCATAAAGCCCCACCCGGCCTTCTCCCAGCTGCTCGCCACCGCCGCAGAGCCCACACTGACCTTTGAGGCAACCGAGGTGCCCATGCTGTGCCCGCCAGTGCCCTGGACCTCACCACACTCAGGCGCCTTCCTGCTGAGCCCCTCCAAGTTGATGCGGGCTGTGGAGGGTACCGTGCAGCACCAGCACAGCCTGGAGCGCTGCCCGCCAGCCTCATTGCACGGCGCTCTGGATGCCCTCACCCAGCTTGGCAACTGTGCCTGGCGTGTCAACGGGCGGGTGCTGGACCTAGTGCTTGAGGTGTTCCATGACCACAGCTGTCCTCGCCTGGGTGTGCCGCCGCCGCCGCCCCCTGCAGTCCCAAGTCCTCACTGCCCCTCGCCAGGCACCCGGCCTGCAAACCTGGCCCAACAGTGCCGGGACCTGGCCAAACAGCGGCAGGAGGCCGCACGGGCCCTCAAGGCCGCCCGCGAGCTGCGCAGCCTGCGTGCCGACGCTCTCTACCGTCTCTCGCTGGCACAGCACCTGCGACATCACAACTTCTGGTTGCCTCACAACATGGACTTTCGAGGCCGCACCTACCCCTGCCCTCCACACCTCAGCCACCTGGGCAGTGACCTGGCCCGAGCCCTGCTGGAGTTCGCCCAGGGCCGCCCTCTTGGCCCCCATGGCCTCGACTGGCTCAAGCTGCACCTAGTCAACCTCACTGGCCTCAAGAAGAGGGAGTCCCTGCAGGCACGACTGGCCTTCGCTGACCAAGTGCTGGATGACATCCTGGACTCTGCGGACCGGCCCATGACGGTGGGTGGTGGCTGGGGGCACGATGTGTGAAGGGGTTGGGGCTTCTCTCCTCTGTCTCTGTCTCCAAGTCTGTCTGCCCAGCTCCATCTCTTCCTGCCTGTCTGTCCCTCTGGTCCCCATTGGGCTTCCTCCAGCCTTCTGGACCAGCAGCTAAACTGTCCCCATACCACGTGCTGTGGTCACCCCACCCAGCTGCACCTCCCTCCCTGCAGAGTGCCTCTTTCCAGACCGTTCTCCCCTTTCCCCGGGACCCTGAGATGGGCCGGGTCTCACAGCTCAGTCACCTCCTGCAGGGCCGAAAGTGGTGGATGGCCTCAGAGGAGCCCTGGCAGACCCTGGCCTGCTGCATGGAGATCGCTGGGGCTGTGCGCTCCCCGGACCCCACTGCCTTCATCTCCCACTTTCCCGTCCACCAGGTGAGTTTAGGACAGGCTCGCTCTGAAGGGGCAAGTGAGGCCCGTGGTGGCCGCCCATGGTGAGGGGGCTGGAGGAGGTGGAGCCGCGAGCTCACGTGCGCCCTTGCAGGATGGCTCCTGTAATGGCCTGCAGCACTACGCGGCGCTCGGCCGGGACACCGTGGGCGCCGCCTCTGTCAACCTGATACCATCGGACCTTCCACAGGACGTCTACAGTGGCGTGGCTGCGCAGGTGGGCGCGGGCCTGGGCCTGGGTGCTGCAGACCTCGCACGGAGGGTGGTGCCCGGTGTGAAGGGGTGGTCAGGGCTCTGCTGACCACTTGCCCTGCGCTGTGTGCACAGGTTGAGGTGTTCCGCAGGCAGGACGCGGAGCAGGGCCTGCGCGTGGCCCAGGTGCTCGAGGGCTTTGTCAGCCGCAAGGTGGTGAAGCAGACGGTCATGACCGTGGTGTACGGGGTCACTCGCTATGGCGGGCGCCTCCAGATCGAGAAGCGTCTGCGCGAGCTGGAGCACTTCCCCCAGGTGGGTGAGGTGCTTAGACTCACACCTGTGCCTGCTCCCCCGGTGCCCTGCCCCATCCAAGGGATCCGTGGGCAGGTGGGATACCCACTCTCACCTGGCACTGTCCGGTCCCCAGGAGTTCGTTTGGGACGCCTCCCACTACCTTGTGCAGCGGGTGTTCAACAGTCTCCAGGAGATGTTCTCAGCTACCCGGGCCATCCAGGTGAGTCCCCACGCAGGGGAGTCCCTGCCCCATCCCTGCTGGACATCCCCACACCCGGGCCCCCACGTGCTCCTGTGGCCTCAGTACCCCATGCCTTCTGCCTCCCCACAGCACTGGCTGACTGAGAGTGCCCGTCTCATTTCCCACATGGGCTCTGCTGTGGAGTGGGTCACGCCTCTGGGCATCCCGGTCATCCAGCCCTACCACCGCACCTCCAAGTTACTGGTACGTGGAGTGTCCAGCCCGAGTCCTCACTGCCTCTGTCCACACCCCATTCTGTCTCACTGACAACCCCCTTCCCTTCCCTTCAGATCAATGGTGGGATGCACACCATGGCCTTCAAGAGCAGTTCTGACAGCAGCCAGTAAGCATGGGCTCAGTGGGGGTGCTGGGTAGGGTAGGTAGGCCTGGGGTGCCAGGCAGGGGCGTGGACAGGACTAGGGGTGCTGAGCTGGGGTATGGGCTATGGAATGGGCTGGGGTGGCAGCTGGAAGTGTGGACAGGACTGAGGTGCTGAGTGGGGATGCAGAAAAGGCTGGAGTACAGGTCAGAGGTATGGACAGGGCTGGGGTGCTGGGGGTCAGAGGCACTGGACATGCTGGCAGTGGATGGGGCTGTGGTGCCCACAGGTGTTGAAAGGTATTACAGTAGATGGACTGATGAGGGTACCAGGACTGAAGAGTGTGTGGGGTGGGGGGTGTTACCCACTGTGCTTCAGCACCCCCTCTTGGCCCCAGGCGCCCCAACACACTGAAACAGAAGAATGGATTCCCACCCAACTTTATCCACTCCCTGGACTCCACACACATGATGCTTACTGCCCTGCATTGCTATAGGTAGGCTGAGGGCCTGGGGGTCAGACAGCAGGGAGTGGGCCTACCTGGTGGGGGCTGGTGGAGCTGCTGGCTAGAAGTAGGGGGCATGCTGGCTCTGAAGAGAGCCCTGAGGGTTCGTCCAGGACAGAGTTAAACTAGGGCAGTCTCTGGAGGCAGGGGTTCTGTGGCCTGGGAGCCCATCATGACCGACGACTAGCCCCCTCCTGCACAGGATGGGCAGAGATAGGCCATGAGGCCCCTGTTAACGTGGGGTGATGGCAGAACTAGTGTGCAGGGGACCCTGCCTGCTGGCCCGCATGTAGACAGGACACAGCCCTCTCCCCCCTGGAGATGGAGGAGGATGGGAGGCTGGTGCTGGGGGCGGGGCTCCTGTCAGGTGGGATGAGGCATCTGCCTCAGTGGATGCTGGTGGGGCAGGAGCTGGGCTCTGCAGAGCTGGGGGCAGACTGATGGCCCCTCCTAACTGGGCACCCTCATGCAGGAAGGGCTTGACCTTTGTCTCTGTTCATGACTGCTTCTGGACGCACGCAGCCGACGTCCCCATCATGAACCAGGTGCCTATGGCTGGACCCAGTGTTCACTGGTGGGGGGGAAGGGGGAGCCCTCCCTCATCCTGAGGCCCCGCCCTCATCCCGAGGCCCCGCCCTCCCTAACCATCACTGGTGGCTATGCGGTGATGCCCCTGCCCACATTGGGCACTGACGCCGCCAGTTGCTGCCTCCTGGCCTCCTAGGTGTGTCGTGAGCAGTTTGTCAACCTCCACAACCAGCCCATCCTGCAGGACCTGTCCCGCTTCCTGGTGAAGCGCTACTGCTCCACCCCCAGGTGAGGTGCACCCCCAGGGTGCCTCTCTGCCCAGCCTTTCCGTGCCCTGTACCCTACCTCATACTCCCGCCCTGTACCCTGTCTGTCCCCCCCAGGTCTCTGAAGTTCTCCAAGAACATCCAGGCACGGAAACTTTTCCAGACACTTCTGGCCATTCCAGAGACAGGTGAGCCGGGCAGGTGGGCAGGTGGACGGCATGGGCGGGGTATCTGGAGGCTGGCCCACTCAACGTCCGTTCCCCTCCCTCACAGGCACCTTCGACTTGGAGCAGGTGAAGTCCTCCACATACTTCTTCAGCTGATCACAGCCTGCCCCCCCCCCCAGTGTAAATAAACCTCTGCGGATGGCGGACAGGTCACACCAGGTGGCGCCGATGCTGTCGTTTATTGCGCGGAATGGGGTGCAGGGTTAGTGGGCGTGGGGCCGCGGTGGGGTGCGGTGCCTCGGCTCTGCTCAGTACATTCAGCGGGGCAGCGGCGGGGGTCCCCGGCCTCGCCCCCACACCCGGGCACAGCCAACAGCCTCGCCCCAGTGCCTGACAGGTGCCAGGCCGCTTACGCAGGGTCAGCACAGGGCACGCGGACAAGGCCAGACAGTTATTGCGTGGACGAGATGGGGCAGCGAGAAGCCGGTGGGCAAATATTGCACTTAAAAAACCCTCCTCAGATGACAGGCCACCTATGGGGTAGGGGCGGGCAGGACACCACGGCCCCGCCCCTGTCTACAATGGGGGAAACTGAGGCACCGAGGTGAAGGGAGCCCCCTCCCACGTACGCGTGGCCGTCGGGGTAGGAGCGATGGGGTGGGCGCAGGGTGATGAGGGGCTGGCCCGGGCAGCAGGACCTGTGCAGCCCAGCCTGCCGGACCAACTAGGCTACCTACGTCTCTATGGCTTGTGGGGCGGGCGGGCCGGGGAGCGCGGAATGGCATGGCTTTGGTCTGATGGACGGGCCCGCGGCCCCGGCCCGCCCGGTCCCCGCGGGACGGTGCGGCGAGGGTCACAAGTTGGATGAGAGGCGCGAGCGCGCAGAGTCCAGTGGGTCGAGGGCACCGGCGGCGGTGCCAGGCGAGGCCGAGTCCCTGCGGTCCGGGCTTGGGGCAGCGCCCCGGGCACCAGTGGGCGCTGGGCCCAGGCGTGGTGTGGAGCTGCTGGCCGGACGCGCGGGGGCTGTGGGACCCTGACCGGCAGCAGCCGCAGCGGCGCCATGGGGCAGCGAGGGCTGTGAGGCTGACAGCGGACGTGAGGCGCGGCTCAGACGGCGCGCGGGCAGCGCCGGCCCAGCACGGGGCCCAGCGGGGGAGCCAGGGGCACCGGCGTAGGGCGAGGTCCGTGGTGCCCGCGGGCTGGCAGGGGCGCCTGGTGGGCTGGCAGCGGGCGGCCCCGGCCCAGGTGCTGGAGGCGCGTGTACGGGGGGTGCCCGGCGCAGGAGGCGCGGCGACCCAAGCGCCAGTGGCCCGACGAGTGGGCGCGCGGCCTGCGGGCAGAAGCTCATTGCCACGGCTTGCTGAAGGGTGGCGATGGCTGAGGTGACCTGCGGCGGCGGCGGGGGCGGGAAGAGGGTGCGGCCACGTTCTGCCTGCTGCACCATCTCCCGGTCGTACTTGACGATCTCCTGGATGATGGCATTCTCCTGGTTGTTGAACACACCCGAGTTGAGGTCGTGTTGGACCTTGTGCAGCAAGATGGAGTTTTTCTTTCCTGCGGGCGAGGATGGGTGTGAACACAAGTGTACACCCAGCCCCTCCTCCGCGGGCCACCTGCCTGTAGCGAGCTGTGCATAGCCAACACCCGTGGGCCTAGAGCGTACAGTAATACACTGACACCCACCTGTCACCTGCTGAGCCCCGACTGTGTCTGAGGCCCTGACCCAGCATGTGGATGGTGGGGTGGCAGCGACCCTGCCCTGCACTGGCCTCCTGTCTCTGAAATGCTCCTGCAGAGCCCGCTCTACCTGGGGTCCTCACACCTTACTGCCTGGACGCAGGCCACAACTGCTGTCCACAAATGGTACAAAGGCCACATGTCCTCGACTCTGAGACTGCCCTCAGCCCTGCCCACTCGCAGCCAGGCCACTGTCTTCCTCCCCGCCTGCCTCTCTGCCAGTGGCAAGCACCTGTTGAGCGCCTGGGCGAGGCTCCTTCACGCTCCGTGTGCTCTGGCCTTGCCTGGCTCTCTGACCTGGGCTTTGGTTTTTCCTGGACTCTGGACCTTCCACTCAGGTACTGTCCATCCAAGGGCCCTCTCAGACATGCCCCTCTCCCTGGTAGTGCCTCTCCTCAGCACCCACTCTTTATAGAACTGTTGATCCGCACGTGTAACACAAAGACTGCCCAGCTGCACAGTCACCACCAGATCAAGTCCGCCTCACGGCCACTAGCCACAGCAACCCCTGTCCAGAGAGGCAACATTTACACAGCGGTCCACACCTGGGCATCAGGCCTGGGCAGGAAGACCTGCCCCACTCACCGATGCGGTCCAGGCGGTCAATGGCCACTGTCTCGAAGGCACGCCGCATCATGGGGTACTCCTCCAGCACCTCGTTGAAGTGGTCCACGCTTAGCGAGTAGAGGCGGCAGTAGGTATCCGCCCGCACGCTGGCCGTGCGCCGGCCTCGCGTCAGCAGGCAGATCTCTGCGAGGCAAGGGAGGTGCCTCAGCACTGCCCACAACCCTCTGCCCCTGCCTGCGCTGCCCTGGCCCCCCTTCCGCCCTCATCCACCCACACCCTGACACTCACCCCCAAAGTAGGAGCCATCTGACAACTTCATCTCCTTGTTGCCCTTGGTGAGCACGCTGACCACTCCATGCTGGATGAAGTACATCTTCTTGCCGATGGTGCCCTCCCGGATGATGTAGTCACCCGGCTGGAAGACCTCAAACTTGAGCTTGGTCAGCATGGCCGTCACAAAGTTGGGGTCCGCGTTGGCGAAGAGCGGCATGGAGGCCACCAGCTTCCGGCAGTTAAAGTTGACAATCTCCTGTGGGGGCAGGGCATCTGGTTCACACCTGGCGACAGCCTGCTCCCCTTGTCTGTGAGACGGGTTCATAACAGCCCGTGCTTAAAGACTGATGCTGGATGTTTTCCTCCAAAGATGGGAGCTAGGGTGACGTTCACGAGTATCTCGTATGCAACAGGATGCTGGCCACTGGCCAGTAAGGGCCCCTGCAAGCATAAGGTGGGCCAACCTCGACTGGGGAACCCAGATTCTGAGCAAAGACTGCGACTATGAGACACCATTAAACGACAGATGTGGGGAGAAGGCCAGCAACTGGGAGAGGAGTCCACAGCTGGACGCGGGGTTGGGGAGGGGCTGTGGGGTCAGCCACGCTTGGTACTGGCCCAAGTGGTGGTCGGGGAGACATCTGCACATCACTGCTTTTCTGTCAGACAATACAGCAAAAATCCACAACCGTCCTTGTCCTCCAAACACTAACACCTGGTTATGAGAGGCCCCTCCTGACCCCTCAGCCAGAAGTCACGGCGTGGGCCTAAAGCAGTGTCCAGACCTCCTGACAGGAGGCTCACGCAAACACACCACACTGCCCCACCTGCCCAGGTCTGCTCACCGAGCAGCAAACTGCAGGCAGGACTTTGCAAAACCCTGAGGGAGTCACATTCCTCTGAAGACCAGACGAGGGAGGGCAGAAGGAAAGCCCTCAAAGACACGGCACACAGAAATGAGGTGCAGAAGCCGCAGTCTTGAAAAAGAGCACGTGGAAATACCAGGAATGCGCCCAGCAGTTCTGCAGGGGCCACCAGAGCAGCAGGACAACAGGTGCTTTCTCTCACCTGCACCTCTGTCCCCAGCACCCGCTGTGCAGCCTGTTGGATCTGCACAAGTGGGGAGCGCGCACCTCACCCAGTGCTCCGTGTGGCCTGTCTGATCTGCAGTCGGGGAGCGCGCACCTCGCCCAGCACCCCATGTGTGGCCTGTCTGATCTGCAGTTGGGGAGCGCGCACCTCACCCAGCGCTCCGTGTGGCCTGTCTGATCTGCAGTCGGGGAGTGCGCACCTCACCCAGCGCTCCGTGTGGCCTGTCTGATCTGCAGTCGGGGAGCACGCACCTCACGCAGTGGCCCATTGAGCTCGCCCAGGATGCTGTCCTCATCGAACATCTTGCCCTGGTAGCGGTGCTCATAGTAGTCGTGGATCTTCTGGCGGAAGTCGGCAGGCAGTTTATGGAAGGACATGTATTGCTCCACTTGCTTGTACTGTAACAAGGAGACGTGGGGAGGGGTCAGCACAGCCACAGGACCCCCAGATGTTCCCTGCCTGCAGTGCAGCCCCACAACCTCACCAAACGCAGAAGCACCTCAGGTGACCCACAGAGTGCAGTGAGAGAACACGCCACACGCTGCTGGAGCTATGCTTACACTTCTTCCTGAAGTTAAAATGCAGTCGGCCTCCAGAATCTTACCTGCAGCCCCATCCCTGAGAAAGCAGCCCATCAGTATGCAATCCCAGGGCCCCCACCCACAGATCCTTCTAGAAACCACTGGTTGGTGTCCAGGGTGAACAGGGACGCAGGCGTGGGTGCCAGGCCCGGCCATCTCAGGATGGGGCCCTCCGGCTGCTGGACTGCAGCTGCCCTGAGCTCAGTAGAACCCGTGATGGTGGGTGGGTGGCGGCACCAGCTCATGTTTGGGTGTGAGGCCCCATGGCTTCCGGACAGCCAGCCTGGCACCAGGCCCAGCTGACCAGCCGGCATTGCTGTGCTGGGTGGAGGCTCCCAGCCAGGCCCCACTAGAGATGAGGACTGAGGGGAAACTGAGGCAGTCAGTGGGGCCTGTGATGTGCCAACCTGGGAGGCAACACGCCTCCTTTTTAGCTCTTGCTGGCTCCACATGCCCACCCAAGACCAGGCAGCTCCGTGGGGATTTTTCCAAACTGAGGCCAACTGAGGATGACCAGCTGTGCTCCCAGAGCCTCTCCATGGCCTTCATGTCCTTGAATGACCCAGGCCTTCTGACTGTGAGGCATTTTTCCCACCCAGAGAGTCATCATGAAATGCCCCAAGACCCCATGAGGGCCTGACCCTTACCTCTTCCTTCCTCCCTGGATTCCCCACCCCTCCTTGTCCTGGTTTCGCTCTGGTTCCTGACCTCCTGTCACAGCAATGGGTCCTCTTGCAGCACTGCACCCTGCCCATCTCCTTGGGCTCCCGCCCCTGGGTGTCCCTGCCTCTTCCCAACCACGTCAAACTGGGGAAGGGCTTCTCCCCGTAAACCCTCAGATCTGGGCCGTGCCTC